CCTGGGAGAAAAGGACCTAATATCTAAGCTCAGATGCTATGGGTTGGGCACTGGACCAGAAAAACAAAGGCGTCCTGCACCAGATGCCAGGTGTTCCGAGGTCAGGTGCCCACCCTGGCTCAATCAGTTGAGAAAGGCCCTCTGTCTGGCACCCAGAGATGCTGGCTGTGCCTCTTCCCATGGGAAGGAGGAGAAGAATATGTAGCTGAGAGAACTGGTTCTAGAATTAGAGAGACCTAACATCCCATTTCTACCATTTTCAGCTGTGTAGAAGTGCAGGCCTGCCCAATGGGTGACTATGAGTACTTTTCCATGCTTCTATTTTCTGGCAATAGGTAGTGAGGTTCACGGACTCAGCCCTGCCAGGCCAGCCCCTCCACACACACAACTGCCAGAGAAAGGGGTTGTGCCTGAATTCAACTTCCCATGGGAAAAGGCACGACGAGGGTCTCCAGGTGCCAGACAGAGGGCCTCTGCCAACTGATTAAGCCGGGACAGGCACGTGGCCTCTGAATATCTGACACTTAGTGGAAGGGTGCCAGGCAATCGAGCCCAAGGTACTTATTCTCCTGGGTTAAGCCACCCTTCCCTATGAAAGCAGAGATCCTGGGCAGGTCCCCCTAGCAGAACACAACCCCCTGGTATGTGCAGCTGTGCCCCAGTCCAAGAACAACTCACCACAAGATGCAGAGAGAAGAGGAAGCACATGCAGACACACAGAATTTTGAAAACCTAGTCAGGAAAAAAAATGTAAGATATCTTATTGCTAGTTTTATATGAATTACATGTTGCAATAATAATAATGTCTTGGATATGTTAAGTTAAACAAAATACATTCAAAACTAATTTCCCCTGTCTTTTTTTTTTTTTTTTTTTTTTTGAGACGGAGTCTCGCTCTGTCACTCAGGCTGGAGTGCAGTAGCACAATCTTGGCTCACTGCAACCCCCACCTCACAGGTTCAAGTGATTTTCCTGCCTTGGCCTCCTGATTAATTGCTACTATAGAAGCCCACCACCACACCCAGCTAATTTTTGTATTTTTAGTAGAGATGAGTACATTTGGGATTGTAGCTGGAGTAGTTGAGCCTTGTTAGGCAGAGGCATATTTGAAAATTTGTACATACGGGATGATGTATACGTGTGTTACAGAGCAGGCTGCCATGTGTAAGACATCTGTTCAGTTTTCTGCTTGGCCACTTCTCCCTGGGACACCCAGTAGTCATGACGGACAACATGACCCCAGTCCCTGACTCTTCTGATTGCATCAGCATGGGCAGCTGATCCCAGCTGGACCACTCAGAGTCTCATGTTGACATATAGACCTGAGGGGGAAAGGGACCTAATATCTAAGCTCAGAAGCTATGGGTTGGGCATTTTCTACTCCCTTCTGGACCAGACAAGCAGAAGATGCCAGGCAGGAGGTCAGGGGGAGAGTAATTAGAGATGCAGGGCGAGTCCTGACAACAGCTGAGTCTCTAGTGCCAGTCCCTTCCTGTGGCCACTTTGCCTTTGCCTTGGGTTCTGTGGAACATATTATGTCTTCATAATAAATCCCTCTTTTCAGCGTAGGCTAGTTTAAGCTGATTTTTCTTAGATTCTACCAAAAGAATTCAACTGAAAGACCTTCTCAGAGATTAGTTGTGAGAAACTACTATACTTGAAACAAAAAGTAGGTTGGAAACAATGCAGTGCCCTAGAGAAGCTAGTTGTGCAATTATGATCAAGGCAGCCCCGTCACTGCTCTAGCGGTGACTCTGACTGCTCCAGCTCTGAGGAGCCCTAACCCCACTGTCTCATCTCCAAAGCCTGTAGCACACGCCCCTGTCCCAAACTATCCCATTTCCTCATTGTTGAGAAACCACCCACACAGCTGCTCTCCTTCCAGGAATGCTTTGCCTTTTCTTCTCTCTCTCCCTCTTTTTTTTTTTTTTTTAAACAGAGTCTCTTTCCTTTGCTCAGGCTGGAGTACAGTGATGCAATGATAGCTCACCGTAACCTTGAACTCCTGGGCTCAAGTGATCCCCCTGCTTTGGCCTCCCAAAGTGCTGGGATTACAGGTATGAGCCACTGCACCCAGCCCTTTCTGTCCCTTTTGAAACTAAAGCACAGTATATACCCTTGGACGAAATCATCTCTAAAATTCCTTGCAGCTTTGCTATCTTGTGGTCCTGAGTCTCTTCCATGGTCCACTCAACTTCACTGGTCAGATTCATTGTCGGGTGATAATGAACAGTCCTCCCTCGGGGAGTTGCTCTGAAGATTCCACATCACAGCGCATGTGAGGTACCTAACAACATTCCCGGCACGTGGAAAATGCTCAGTCCAGGAATGGTTAATAATTATGATTACAAAAATAAAATAACATGGGCAATGCACGCTCCAATCTCAATCCCTCCCTCATCTTTTTATTTAATATCCTTTAGTATTTTTAAAAATAGAGATGGGGGTCTCACTATATTGCCCAGGCTAGTCTCAAACTCCTGAGCTCAAGTGGTCCTCTCTGCTTGGCCTCCCACATTGCTGAGATTACAGGCAAAAGCCTCTGCACCTGGCCCTTCCCTCATCTTTATGGATCCTTCACTAGCTGTCTGAGTTCTAAATACACAGTTCCATAGTCTTATCCCCTAGTACCCTCATTGAACCCCTGAACTCACTCTTCGAGTTCCCCTTTCTCTCTAGACCACCAGTGTTTTGGCTTCTGCTGGGATCCCCTCTGCTGCAATGGGCTGTGGGATTCTCTGCAAGGTTCTTTGCTAGAACTTGCCCTCAATTAGCTGGATGCGGTGGTGGCCCCCTGTAATCCCAGCTACTTGGGAGGCTGAGGCAGGAGCATTGCTTGAGCCTGGGGGTTGCAGTCAGCCAAGATTGTGCCACTGCACTCTAGCCTGGGTAACAAAGCAAGACCCCATGT